GTACAGTGCAAACTAGCTAAAGGTGCTAGTAGAGAAAGTTGAAGCATCGTAGCGGCCCGTCACCACTACGTCCGGATCCGAACCGTTTGGCTGAGCGAGACACTTCCGTGTCCCTTGCCGCTCTGGTCTTGCTAACTAGCCCCGGTCCTCCCCGACTCTCCGCTGAGCCAATGATAAAGTGTGGCGATTCGATCATTGTGCTCACCACACTGTAAAAAGGTTGGTCAATTTTGGGTTGATATTTTGCCCAATGTAGGTAAAAATATCAACTTAGCAACCTTTGGGCAAATTCTTCCCAATATTTGGTCAATGTTTGACCAACAGTGACGGAAAGTTGAACAACAATGTGGTAGCTTTAACCAAAGTTGGGCAAATACCAAATGCCCAACACTGATTTAACCAATGCTTTTTTACAGTGCACATTCTAGTCTGAGCAGCAGTGCGGAAAGTAGATATACCGCTGGCCCCGTCCAGCCGTTGCTGGTCGCTGTGGTGGCCCAGGACAGCTCCCACCATGTCGTGAGGGGTCTGAGCTACCACAAGCCTGGTATTGAGGGAACGCAGCAATACGTATATTTTTTTAAGGTCTTACCTTCATTATCTCAATGATATAAAATTTGTCTTATCTTGCAGTTTGATCAACTTTCGACTAGCGATTTTGACTGTTCAGCCGTGACCATGGCAGGTAATAAATGATATTATTGTCAGTTCCAATTTTAAAACTTGTTTGCATTTGTATGGAGCAACATCGGAAAGGGCAATTTTTGTGTGTTTGGAACTAATGCAAAATAGTCAAGAGAGAGTGTGTTGTTTTATCTGACTGCACGTTTCTTTGTGTGAAAGAGAGACTTAAGTTGAATCTACTAGTGGGTAGGCCTGTAATCAGTTTCTTATTATCTTTTAAACAAATCTTTTAATGCTTCCCGCCTTAGAGCCCGGTGACACACCCACCAAAACAGGAAATGAAGAACAGTCAGCAACAGCCAATGTCAATTTTCACGACTACCGAGATCAAATCGAAAGCGTATTTTCCGGCTCTAAAGGCAGTAACACAGGCCAGCCAACGTTCCATCTTCACCAAAGCCCTCTGTTTTGTGTCAAAGTGCTTCAGACGTCAATGTCATTTACGGTAATGTTGAGCTCTGAAAACAAAATCAGATATAACAAGATACTTTGCGTACTTCTTTGTAAAAGAGATACAAATTAACAAACGGTCCCAATGGACCGAAGAACAAAAATTAACTAACTAAAACCTAGCATGTTTCGATGACGCATTTGATGTCAGTGTTTGTGCTTTTCAAACCACATTAGACACACTCCTTGGTCGCAACAGATACATTGCAGAGTTGATTTTGGTAACCATGGTAACACCAATGTACCGTTTCCATACCTAAAAGTTATTTCGTCTCGTTCTGATTTTCACTCTAATGTTAATTTACAAGTCGTAATTTGAAATGGTGCTTTTCGATCCGGCTGGTACCTTAATAATTTTTAAATTTTCACAAGGACAGATATATACATTTAATTTCTACCTCTAACAAAAGGGTCTAAAACCACTGCCATTCAACGTGTACCACCGGCTGAGACATCATGTGACGTCTACAGACGTGAATATGGTCAGGCTGACAAGAAACCTAAATTTGATTATCAAGGTACGCTCAAAATCTATCCATTTCAAGGTATGCTTAAAAAATATTTCCACGGATGTGTTTCTGTTTATTCAATAATCAGTTGAAAGCCCGTCGTGTAGACGGTTTAAATGGTTGATAAAGCACCACCTGACTTGTTTTTTTGGGAGCCACCACACACAGTACCCACCACTCTGGCGCCAATGAGGAGATTAGGACCACTCGCAAAAGGCACATGCAGGGCTATTACATGGCTTGAGAGGTGTTTTCAAATAAATTGTGCAACAAATTTGTTGGAAATTTGTAATTTGTAATGTTTGACAATGGGACTTAGAAGTTAGTATTGAATGAGAATAAATGTGTGTAGTCTAATCCCATATTTATTCCGTCATTAAAAGCTATGCACAGTGTGTCGCCTGAAGAGATCTCACAAAGTAAGGCAAAATGTGACCAAGCTTTCCACGACAGTTTTATCACAAGCTGGGGGCAATGGGCTTCCACTGATACCTTCAGTGCATTATTTATGCTTATGCACAAATGAGAGTCCAGTTACTGAAAAAAGAACAGTCTGGAAACGTCAGTAATACAGGATGGTTCGGCTAACACCTATGCGACGAGTGTTTTGTTGAAACATTTTCAAGATAAGAAACGTGCAATGTTCTCAGTTCGCTGTACGTGGTCTTCTAGTTAGTACTTGCTCTGATTAAAAAGGCTATTTGAATTTGAGGAGGAATTCCCTGAACATATCTTGAGTAGACTGATAGCTTTTGGGCTTTCTTTACCAAAAAAACTCCTTTCTCACTTTTTAGACGTTGGTTAATCTGTGTAGAATTCTGTGGAGTCCACCTGAATGAAACGCAGAACGACCTAACAAAATAATGCAATGGGTATCAAAACCATAACGTCATGATGCGCAAAATTAAGAATTGTCGCTTGATTTCTCAAGTTTATATCTCTAAGAGTTTTACAAGGTTTTTCCAGACAATGGTGTCAGTGTTTACGTTTCCATCCAACCAGATCTCCTTCAAGATTCTGGCGCGTTATCTTTTGGTGAAGGTCTCTTCAACGCATCGATTATGGGAAACGCAACAGAAGTCCAAGGTTTAATAAGCAGAAATCCCGACCTGGTATGAAAAATAGGAACAAGTGATTTATCAAATTTAATTAAGTAGCAGTAGCATAATGAAGAGATACATGCTGTACGAATGATTTTATTTGGCCAAGGAGGAAAATTTAACCTTCAAGAATAAAAAAACTTATATTTCTTCAAACCATAAGAAGTCCACACTCATTTCAAATTACCAAACGTGGAATTAAAAGAAGTGCTGTTGATATATGGTCATAGATTGTACTATAGCAAGAACAGTTAAAACATTTTTCTCTCAATACATGTACTAGTAATCGAATACAAATTTGACTTTCAGTTCACTTGACAATAATAAACAAGTTCGTAAAGCACTTTCAATTGGAAATAGATGCGTAACAATACTCTTTACTGAATTGCCTGTGAATGCAGTGACTAAGGTAAGAGAAATCCAACTATCCTAAAGTGCATAAATGTTGAAGTGACCAATTTTGGTCACAACATTATTCAGAAATTACCTCTTGTCGTTAAGCGCATAAAGTAAATAACTCTATGAGAAAGATTCCACAATACTCTCAATAAGTCTGATGATGCCAATGGCGTAACTAGGGCAAAATGTCCAGGGGCACCCGGGGCTGCACACCTTTTTTTCCAAGGGGCACCGCAAGACAATAAGCCACAGCTACATTTCGACGGAGATTATTCGCAGATTTCAAATGAGGAGAGGGGACGGGTATTTGCTGGGGAGGGGGGAGGCGCATGTGCCCTCCCCGTGCTTACGCTACTGAATGATGTAATGCCAAAAATATACGAGAATTGTACATTTTGCAGGTCAAGTATGAGAACAAGCAAGGACAGACGCCACTGCATGCAGCTGCCCATGCAGGTCACATGGAAACGGTCGTTGCCTTGGTTACCAGTAAAGCCCAACTGGAAAAACAGGACAAAAAGGGGTATACAGCACTGGCATCTGCAATATTTGGGTGAGCTGGTCAAAGGATGTATGTGAGGAGGATCGGGATGAGGCAATCTGGGACAATGGTAGGCGGGATGAGGTGGGTGGGATGAGGTTACCTGACTTGGCCGCAAACGTGAAAGGCACTTGGATAAGGGTGATGTAGGCTAGGCACGCGAGGGGGACATGTTGGCTCCAGTAACACCATCAGGAGGTCGGACGAAAATGGCTTCAGTTTAGACGGATTACGCCCGCTAAATCACATATGACCTATGGTGGGTGTCACTCAAAACGCACTTTTGTATGGGAGTGGTATATCATAGAAAAGTGCGTTTTGAGTGTTGTTGACAAGCAATAAAGCCGATTTACGGTATATTGCCCAGCACATCAGTAGTCTGAGTACGTTACCTACCGTCGGCTTTATTTTTGGTAAATGGTGGTTATGCCTTTCTTTTGGTGGACGCGGTATTTGTTGATATTTAATACCCACTATTGGTAACGGTCTATTTTCACTATTAGGAGAATCACCGAACTGTTTGGCAAAAGGATTATCCAACCCAAACGAATGACCCAAATTCTATTCTGATGTCTGGGAACCTTGTCGCATTTGTGCGACGGATTTAGAACATATCAGCAGCCTCTTTTTAATGTACATGTATTGCTTGTACCACTTTGGTCTTTAGTTACGTGATTCCCTTGGTACACAGTGTTGGGCCAAAATAACCCTGTCTTTTAGTGACAAACCACCTATTCCGGAACTCTTCAACTCTTCTACAAAAATAATCTATTGACACTAGCGCTTAACGTAGTGAGGAGACCTTGGCGCGTCTTAGATATTACATTACTTTTTACTGACCAAAACGATCTGAAAAAGTTTGCTGCAAAATTCCGGGCGGGTTGCCTGCGTAGCATCAGAGGGAAATGACAACCACTTGAAAGAGGGTAGTACTCTATTAATTGTAGAAAACATTTGGCGGGTTTAATTAAGAGAGCAATAGTTTCATTCGTATAATAAGGTGATTAATGAGATATCTATGTCTAACTTATCCATGCTTTCCTGGCTGAGGGCGTTGTAGCTGGAAAGACATTATAGGGAAGACACAGTTCAGTACCTTGGCTACTCTGTTTGGATCGTGAATCCAGAATGTAGTAAAACCCTTTCTGAGAGATTAATGGTTTCTTATTTCTATGTACATAAACAACAATGAATCAGCAAAGCAGAGAAAACTGAATTCAGCAAAATCTTGAAAATATAGGACTTTGGGCGTATAAACATATGTAACAATGAGGCTTCTACCTGAGATGACATCACATGTTGAAAATAAGATTAACTGAGAAAGGTGTATTTCAAAGGTTGTTATTCAAGCAAATTGATTCAGGTATCCCCTTTAAGGCGAGATGTTTATGGAAAACCGTTACACAGTTCTTTTTGTACATAACATAAAACGTTGGGACTCGACCAAAACACGCTTAAACGGAAAATCGCTGTTGTTTCTATTTCAAGAGATGAACCAGAAATTGTGGAGTATCTTCTAGAATCTGGAAGTAAGCCAAATGCATCGAGCAAGATGGGATTTACACCACTTCACATAGCCGCTATTGAGGGCCACAAAAAGTGCGTCGAGGTACTACTAAGTAGGCTGACACCTAGTGATGTCGACTGCAGGGTAGGTTTAAGAATGTAACTGCAAATTGTAAAACGGAGCGAAGGAAAGGAGATTACGTGGTATATTTTGTATTTTCAAGACTTATATCGATGATACTACCAAGGGAGTTTCCGCTGTCTCTGTTGTGTTTTAAATTTAAAAATATTAATCAATTGAGAGACTTATATTAAATGTATAATTTGTCGGTTTTTCAAAAAGTGGCAGAAAGCAGTAAAATTGTTAACAGTTCGGTTTGTCCACCGCATAAAATTTGACTTCCTGTCTTAGTAATGGTGAACGGACAGTCTCTGTGTTTCCTTGTTTTCACAAAGCATCTATGACGCGCTCGAACGATGCCAAAGAACACACATGCAATCACAAAACATTTGAGTACCATTTTTTTGGTTTTTATGTTTTTTAAATGAGAGTAAAGTTAGTTGGATATTGGACATTCTGTTAAGTTTCTACAGCGAATGTGTTAGTTTGGGGATAGAGGACACCCCAATAGGTTTGGCAAAAATTTTTTTAAAAGGACACTGGTAGGCGTGATGAGGTGGCGGGTTACCTGACTTGGCTGTGAACGTGAAATGCGCCTGGGTAAGGGTGATACACATGGTAGGCTTATGGGAGGCATGTTGGCTCAAATAACATCAACAGGAGGTCGGACGAAAATGGCTTCAGTTTCCGTCCTTTCAATGGACCGATTACGCCTGCTAAATCATATATGACGTATGGTGGGTATCACTCAAATGGAACTTTTCTGCGGGAGTGAATCATAGAAAATTAGGTTTTGAGTGTTGTTTACAAATGAAGCAGATTTACGGTATATTACCCAGCACATCAGTAGTCTGAGTACGGTACCTACCGTCGGCTTTAGTTTTGGTAAATGATGGTTATGCTTTGCTTTTGCTTTGCTTTTTGTTCTTTGATCCTCGACAGCTAGCGCTTGTGGGAAGGGATACCCCATTTTGTTTGTTTGAAAAACAAGAACCATACCATCTGCGATCAGCTTTCCAGTAGAAAATAGACCGGCAAAAATTATTCTGTAAAGCAGTGGGGAATGCCGCTAACTCTACAGAGCAAAATTTAATCGCTGGGGTCACCGTGTGAACAAATGTCACAAGTTGCACAATTCGGAAGCAATCACACTCCAGGCTTATTTTTAAAACATAAGTTTTAAGTCAAAGATTTTGGCAATAATTTACACATGCTGTATGTTATTTGCCCTTTTATATGCGTTAAAAACTCTCTCATCAATGGAAAAATCTTATTTTTTACTACTTTAAGCAGGACGCTCGGCAAATTTTATGTCTAGAGGTTACTCTAACAATTTTGGGGTCGGGAATAGTAAAATGCAATTTTTTTGTGATGGGGAAGTATTTACAAATAGGATTATAGGGAACGTCTTCAGTCTGAGCATAGGATCGATTAATTGTGAAAATAAAAGGCAACATTGGTTGAAGTTTGCTATCAATATTGTTTGAAATTTATATCCAGGATAGCCCATCCACCAGTCAAATATTCCCAACTAAAAGATATTCCTGGTCAAAACTATTGGATTGTCCAATTTCTTGAACTGATATAATCGCCGTGAAAACCTATTGGAATGTCTCATATCTTAAAACCGACACACTGGCTGTAAACATATTGTTGGGAAATTCCAATCTCTCCAAAAAAGACAGATTCACTGTAGAATCTATTGGAATGTACAACCTCTCCAAACGGATACATTCTCTTTAGAAACATAAAGGAATGCCCAATCTCTAACTGACTCTACTCTCGTGTTTTAAAGAGGTGACAAAATTGATGAAATACTATTCAAATAAGAAAATTTTTCTCCTATCGAATATGAATTAGAAACGAACGAAGCATATTTGTCAAAGCAAAATCTGTCAAAATGTGCCGTGAAAAGCAATCTTTTTTTCAAAGGCAATCATCTCGGTGAGGTTTGCTAGGCAAAGAGAATTTTGACACTTGGTAGGGTCGCCGTCTAGTTTTCTCAGTGAGTCCACAGTTCGTTTGAAAATCCAAAGGAACGACTGAGACAACCAATGGAGGAGGTGGTTCTTTCACAAAGTGTCATTTGTTGTTTGACAGGATGTTAATGGCAATACGCCGCTGGTCATTGCAATCGCAAAGAAGTACACGCCGATAATACAGTTGCTGGTGGAACATCAGGGCATAAGCCTCGACCTGAAAGATGCACATCAGAGGACACCCTTGCACATTGCAGCCCTCTGTGGCAACAAGTTGTTAGTATTTCAATGAAAATGTTCATATTCCTGTGCACGTTTTGCCGTAAATAAGAGTCTGAAAATGGTTTATAAACATGCGTCCGTAACCTGTACTTTCCCTCAAGAGAGCTTTTACGTTAATAGGTGATTTAATCTTTTTACCGTACGATTAACGCCTACTCACCCTTAGACTTTCCTAAACGCTGGAGAGTCCGAGATTTTTAAAGTTCCAGTTAAGGTTAAGCCCTGTCTCTGACCGATAAACTCGGTAAAACGAAAACAGTCTATCTCTCCTGATCCTGCCACATTCAAGCCTGGCCCAGTCCTGTCCAACTGCAAAATGCTTGCATATCGGTAGTTTCATGATGGAGGGATTGTGGATACAATTGTGGATTGTGGTAGCTCATGCTCGTGATGGGCTTAGGGATGAACTTCCGCAGAGTTAGCAATTGGGTTGGGATCTAGCCGTTTCTCATACAAATGAAGTCTATTCTGACAAATGATCCCTGTCCACTGCTACCAAGTTCCAGAATACGTTGAGGAAAGGTACTGGCATACATACAGTTCTTTATCCAAGATGCTCCGGTTGGCAGCGTGATGCAGGACATGCGATGCTGACTTGCTGATCCGCGTGTAAAAATAGGGTGTTGACCTTTTGGTGATGCCGGTTGGCTGGGATTCGATGCTACACAAGGTAGCTACAGGAGATCCGTTGGCACTGATTTAATGCTGCTTCCATTTAATTTGCAGTCTCTTCAGTCACTTACGTTTGATTTATTTTTCTATCCTGAGCACTGTGGGCCCACGCTAGCGTGGGATGCAGTAGCCCGCAGTGAAGTGGCGGAGATGTTTGGAGAGCTTTACAATCCTCTTAATTTATTGTTGGCTAGATGTCTTATAAATTACGCTTTGCGCCAGTAGGATGATTGGGCCCAGCCCGCATTACCTCTTTGCTCTGTGTGAGTTTTTCTGCTTTACTCAAAGCAGTGCAATTTATTTCAACTAAAGCTTGTCACAAAAGTCAGTCCTGATTCCAAAGGAGTGCATGCATGTGTGACGAAGCAAGGATGTTACAATAGAATTTGAATTTATGAATTATAGCTATTGTCTTACAGTATCCATTATTTTAAATTTACCTTCCGAACCAAACAAGGTATTTTAAAAATTGACATGGGGAAAGCATTGAACGATTCAAGTTACTATCACTGATATTTGGAAAACTCTGATATTGTGTGACATCACACACAATTTTGTTACTGCCGTTTAAGGCGACATTTAATCATCCAAATTGATAGGTAGCTACTAAATTGCAGAGAACAGTACAATGAAATGATGTAATAATGACGTCATCAAAGAGATTTCTACAGTTAGGTTTATCTGAGTTAATGCGTTCATGTGTCAGGTGACACAAATATTCATTCTCCACATGCTTTAAATTGATATGAAGAACTTTGCAGATCTAAAGCTGTTTTCATGATAGGTGCTACTTTGCACAAATAATGAATCCTGCAACAAACCCTAAGACTGCAAAAACGTGAAATCGCCAGATCAATTTATGTTTGTAACTGAAACGAACATGAACCCATAGCTTTAACTGCAGTAAACGCAATGTGGCCGAAAATGCACCCAAAACAGAGAAAACAAAACAAAACGATATTATATCTTTTCCAACAAAATCTTGTCAATGGCACGGGGAGATCCAGGATTTAATTTTTTAGGCAGAGAGGTCGCACAAGAGCCATGCTGAATTGTAGCTGTTGATGAAGCCATTTAATCTCTTTGTCCTTTGCACAACTTCTGACTGCAATAGCTACCATTAACACATCGTTTAGCTTTCGATATGCAAATGAAGTATTCTTATTTTGAAATTTTCGAGGTAATTTGTCTAGATTTGATGCCATTTTTTTTCTGAAATTCATCAGGGCGGGTGAGCATATTCTAAAAGCCAATCCCGAGTTAATCAATGTGCAAAGCCAGGACGGTTTCACAGCGTTACATTTAGCTGCTTTCTACGGCCACGCGGACACTGTGCTGACCCTTGTTACGCCGGTAAGGAAGCCAGAATGGTTCAGCAAGATTATTTACACTCCCAATGAACAAGTCTGCATATAGTTGTTTTCAAGCAATTATGACAACCTATCTGGTTTTAAAATCATTAGGCGTATTATGAGTATTTTGTTGATGATCTTATGAAGTTATAAAAACCTCCCTATCGCGCAAATCAGACATCTGAGAAAAGCGCATTTTAAAATATGACCTATTTCACCTCACTTTTTTCGACCACTTTTTTAGGACTGGGACATTTGTTTGCATAGTCATGCAAAGTAAGGATTGAAAAATGCTAATTCACACTAGTTTGTAGATTTGTTGTTTTAATGAAAGATTAATTCATTAACAAAGATTTTACATTTTGTTAGATTGTAAAACATGAAGGTCTTTGCCCTATTGCATTATACACTGTCGCTTCTTGAGATTATACGCGCACGAAAAAATTATAACCATTTGTTACAGGTGTTAATGTTAAATATCGTTCGCACACATGCATGTACGGCATCTTGACATGGCCAGAGCTGTTTAGTCTCTATTTTTGCCCTGGTACCAAAGAGGTTTTTGTCACTTTGTGAGACCAAACAATTCCTAGAGGCCGAACTCTTTGTCAAATGTTTTTGTAAACAAAGTAAATAACATTTGGCTGTAATACTGTGTCAGGCTGTACCTTGAATCAAATGTACCTAAATGACGCAAAACCTCCAGATTGAAACAATATCAACTTCCAGGTTTTGTCTCTTCGTTACGAATGCTTCATTGAGGTAATTACACAATTTTTAATAAATGAGACGCATTTGGTTATATTACTGCAATATCAGGACCAGTTAATTAAGCTTTTATTTATTGCAAAGACGGGAAAAAACGAGCCAAAGCAACCAAAACCCAACACAGAAAGAACAAACCAGCCCCTGCACCCAGCTGATCCCATCTATTAAAATTACCCCAGGTGGGACTATTACGACGGACTGTTTTGTTTTTTTTAAAGAAAAATTGTGTCAAGGATCTCAGAAACAACAGAGGGCACACGGCACTACATCTTGCTATCATCAATAGGCATTACGAATGTGTCAAGACTCTGGTAGGTAAAGGGGCTAACTTGAATGCCCAGGATGGCAACGGGAACACCGGTCTCCATCTTGTTATGATGAAAACATCCATATCCATTGAGAACCTTTTAGAAGCAAAATTGAAAGGAAAGGTTAGTAGAAACCTCTGATCACAAATCGACTCATAATGAATTCTGAGCTCATTGGATTAATTGGTCCTCGGTTATCAAACACACGTTTGCCTGCACCAGATGCTTTTAAATGGACCTGTATCTGTACAGGATTTTGCATTAAAGTCTGGCCTCTCGAGTTTGGAAACACTCGAGAATCTGTGTCTCTTAATAGAGTCGATTTCTTTATCTGACAAAAATATCATATATGTCCGTCTCTCTCTGTCATTTCATCCACGAAAGTACATCGAACTTCTTCCAAAGAGTACGAACAACTGGTTGATTTGTCATTGTCTGTTCACAGGCCCAAACAGCGGGTGATGACATTCTGCAAGATATTTTCCAGTTGCTCGTAGAACACCCTACAGTCGACTTGTCCTTGAAAAACAACAAAGATCTGAATTGTTTGCACTACGCAGCTAGTTGGGGGCATAAATTGTAGGTACCAACTGTGCATGATTCTTCCTGTGAGTTTTATATACACATATGCAGGTTGTATGGGTGTAGGACATTTGAATTGCAAAGGGTTTCATTCCTAGGAGGTTGTAAGAATGCAGTTGCATTGTAGTGGCGATTTTGGGTTCATAAAAGGTGCTAATTAGCTAGGTTACCATACATTCAAACAATTTTAATTGAAGTGATTCTTATATTCATTTACAGTGCAGTAAAGAAGATTGTAGAGGCCAAGCCCTCGTTGATGAATGTGGCCCAGAACGATGGATGGACAGCCCTCCACCTTGCTATCATGAACGATCACACTAGTATCGTATCCATCCTTGTTAAACAGGTAAGGATAATCGACAGAGAGAAGTTCAAGTGTAAATGTTACTATTGAAGTTCGCTGTTCAGTTTCACTGATCATTCCAATCATGGACGACACAATATGAATGAATGCGTTTTCAGTGGTTTTGCTATGTGGTTAGTATGCAGTAATTAACGAGCTGTATAGACCTTTTTCACGCACTTCACTGGATTAAGCTAAATGGAACAACACCACCACGTGTGGACCGCCTTGGCCACGATGATCGCATATATTCCTACGGGCAGCTTCAGCCATGTGCAAGCGTACGTGCGAATGCTGCATGCATGACTAGTTTATCTTCAATAAGTAGATTACCATTACACCATGCATCATTACCATTACAACACATCACGGTCCATGCAGTACGATCGTGACATCACAGGAAAAATGTCTATATATGTATTTTGAACAAATCATTGAAACCTGTGTCCTTGAGCAGCTCTATAACGCGCAGTCATTAATCGCTTGGCAAAAATCACTTTATTTTATTTCTTTCATTTGTTTTAACAATAGACCCAATAAAACACCTTAGATGAGACTACTGTGTCTAAATCGTGCTTGTTTTGGTGTTAGGAACTTTGCTCAAAGGATCTCAAAAATGCCAAAGGGCACACAGTACTGCATTTTGCTGTTATGAGCGATAAGGGTGACTGTGCCAGGATTCTGCTTGAGAATGGTGCCGATGTAAACGCCCAGGACGACGATGGTAACACCAGTCTCCACCTTGCTACGATGACAACAATCATAGGCTTCCGCATAACAAATGAAGGAATTTTACAAACAGACAAGGTTTGTATACGTTTAATAAGAAAACATGTTTTGAAGAAAAAGCCGAGTTGCATTTATAATAAAGTCTAAGGTTCTCATATTTTCTTACTCTAGTGTCGGTGTGAGGGGGGGTGGGTGGGTATAAGTTTACCTTCCTCCCCCCCCCCCGATTCCAAAGATCATCATTTTTTGTCTGTGTGGAGAATTTCAGACATTATCTCTGGCATAAAAAGGTGTTTTTTCCTCGGTCGGAGGCAACAATAAAGATCAGTTGTAAACCTAAATTATCTGCTTTGGCACTTGAGTTTGACGACCAATCTAAGGTCCAGAGGTTAGGGGTCGATAGGTAATTGATTTAGTGACCCAGTTGACTGACACAATTATGAGCATGTGCGGACACACGGGATTACCGGTAAGATCAAATAGAAGCATTTAATATACCTTTCCTTAATTTATATAATCACTGTATTTACACAGTTGGAATTTATATGATACAGTTACAAAAGAGTTACAAAAGAATAATAACGCAAATTACAATTACATAAGAACACTTAAATAATATGCACTCCGCAAAATGCCACCGATTATCCGCTCTTCGCAATCCGCACTCCGCGCTCCGCACCCAATTACATGTGCAGGTATCCGCAACCCGCACTCATTACTCGGGTGACTGCACCAAAGGTATCCGTGAATACCTGGTGCTAACTGAACCAGAATAACGGGTATCTCTTGGCTTCTGTCGACACTTAGTCTGTCCAGACTTTCACCACCTTCCTAGACAGTGACCTTTGGACAGACCTCGACAAATCTGCCCTCAACTCTATACCCACACAGTAATTATGCTCTACCCGCAATCCTTTCTGACCGAAACTATGAACAGTACACTAAATTAAT